TTAGAGGGCCGCCGCACCGGTCGGGCCCCCTTCGCTGCCGGACTTGCGCACCCCGGCGCCCGGAGCCTCCGGCGCTGTGCCCACCCCGCTCCAGCTCGCGTCTCCCGACTCCAATTAGGTCAGGCTCGGAGTCCCGCGGCCGCGGCTCCGGCCCCCAACGCGCGGCAGCCACCCGGCTCGCCTTTCTTTCTTCTCTCGCCTTCCTCTCCTCTTGCCTCCCCCTCCCCCTCTTTTCACGTTGCTGAGGTTTGGGGTTTTGTTTTATGTTTTAGGGGTTTTGTTCCGCAGCCCAAGCTCATGGATGTACATTATCATGCTCCTCTTTTGTAGAGCAACCCGACGGCCATGGAGGCCGAAGAGACGATGGAATGCCTTCAGGAGTTCCCTGAACACCATAAAATGATCCTGGACCGGTTGAATGAACAGCGAGAGCAGGACCGGTTTACTGACATCACCCTGATTGTCGACGGTGGGTAGGGTAGTCGGGCAGAGGAGAGTGAATTTGTGGCTTCAGTTCTTATTTCCCTTTCCCCCACCCGCCTTTTTTACCCACCCTCTATGGGCTCGCTATCAAAAGTCAACGGAGAGAGTGCGCTGGGACCTGTGGTCGGTCACTTGTCAGTGTCAGCTCACTTAGACCATGCTGTAGAAGGCTAGTTGGCGGGCCAGTCAGTTTTTCAACATAATTATGGCATTTTAACTTTTTGTAGCCTTTTGAAGTTTTCCCATTGAACACTGGAGTGCAGGATTATGTTGTGGGGATAGGAGGGAGGATGTCTCTAAATGTTTGGTTAATAGTTTTCTATTGATAAGCTACTTTGAGGAATATCTCACAGGAGTCATTTGAGAAGTGTTGATTTTTTTTTCTACTTTCTCAAATGGTCTTGGAGGGAGAATGTGAGAAAATCCTTTCTACACTGGTACCCTCTTTGAGAACTCCCATAATAAAATGGAGACTTTATCAATTTTGGGTGTTGTCATTGTAATGGAGGCAAACTCAGCGTGGGTGTCTTTTCCATTGAGTAAAAATTGGTTTCTCAAAGCCAGCTGTTTTTTTTATAGTAGATCTACTGTAGATCAAGCTTCCAGATTTTGTACACATTAAAATATTTCTCATAGCAAACACATCCAGCTTTGTGCTTGTTCTGTGGCTTTTTTCTCCCTCTTTTTAAATGAACTATAATCTTTTGGGTTGTGTTTATGTTTAGTAGTTTCAACTTAATAGACTATGTCTTTCACTCAAGTGGTAGGAGGTTCCTTACCTCCTGGAGTGTTATAACCTGGCCATTATAAAACTGATTTAATAGGGTCTTTGAAGTAAAGATCTGACTTTGTCTAATAGAGATTAAAATTTGTCAAGATAGCTGCCAAGAATATTGTGACTTGAGTTCAGTAATCTGTATAGTTTTATAATTATACCATAAAGATCTACTTGATATAATTTTCTAATTTGTTTTCCAATTTTATGTTTCATTTTCGTGGCTATGTATGATTTTATTTTCTTTTTTACCTAGGTCACCATTTTAAGGCCCACAAGGCTGTTTTGGCTGCTTGCAGTAAATTCTTCTACAAATTCTTTCAAGAGTTTACTCAGGAACCTTTGGTGGAGATAGAAGGTAAATGTTTGTTTTAAATACAATGCTTAGCAAGAATTATAATTGATGAAGACGTTTTAGACAGTCAAGTTAGCAAGATACCATGGGACATAGGCATGATAGTTCCTGTTAGGTGGCTGAATAAATTGTTCTTTTGACACCTGAGAATTCTTACTTTCAGCAAAGTGTTTGGTAAAACGATCTGCCAGGAAAAACTCTTAGGTTAGATGGTAGATGTTGGTCTTTTAAAGGAGTCTTTTCCACTGCTAAAAGCCAGTGTTTACTGTCTTTTGAAAACAAGTAAATTTCCATCTTTGTTCAGACTGGTGGGGATGCCACAGGGTACAGTAGAGGCCTTTACTAGCAGAGGTCCAAATGACATGCACATTGTGAAGTTGGCTGCCATAATATGCAAAGAGTTAAGAAAGGTGAACTGAAGTAGCATTCAGAAGAAGTTCTAATAACTATAGAAGGTCTGGGATGGAAGGACTTATTTGCTGGATATTGTCTTAATCATAATAAATGATTTTTTGTACTTGCTTGACTTTTCTGTAATAAAAGTTCACCAAAGGCCAGGTATTGTGCTACATAGTTTATGCGCATTTTATGAGGTTCAAGCAATCCTTTGAAGTAAGCTTTGTGGATTTCCACATCACATCAGGGAACACCCTCCAAATGTTACTTGCCCAACGTTGCGCAGCTAGCAAGGGATTCCCAATTCAAAACTGTAGGAAATAAATCAGTTTACCTACATAAATAACAGAATTTTAGCTTCTTTGAAGGTTCTTGAGGTGTGATTTTGTATTTCTTTCATGGTGTATATGTTCTTTGTTATGAATGGGTTGCCTAGAAACACTATTCCCTTGGAAAAATTTTCATGCCTATGGGAGTAAAGAAAATACAGAGTCCTTGTATATTTGCTCTTCTCTATTTTTGTTGTTTGCCAGATTCAGGTTTAATTTTGGTACATTCCCTATCTAGCATTCTAGTTACTGTGTCCATAGGTAGGTTATCTTTTAATTATCTGTGATGGACAGAGCATAGACATAATGGAAGTCCACAAAGCTTACTACCATGACAGTCTAGCTGCCTTGATGATATTGGTTTTTATTACAAGGTAAGATTTCCATTTAGTCACCTGAAGTACTTTGTGATCCCAGGCAGATTACTTTATCTCAATTGTATATTAGCCCCCTCATCTGAAAAGTGGGCTAATAGGCTTGATTAATTGAAATAACATGCATGCAGAGTGCCTGCAATAGTATTTAGTGTGTTGTCAAAGCTTAATAAATTGGAGCTATTTATCAGTTATCTATTACATGTATGTACCATGCTAGACCCATGAAATGAAGAATTGAGGACTAAGGCCTTAAAAAAAACCTGCAGATTTAATCATGGATAAGCAACAGGTAAAGAAAGGAGTGCAAAAATGTTGCAGAGACATTTAGTGTGGAATGGTGTCACTGAGGAGGGAGAATGAGTGGTTTAGTCTGCCTTAGAGAGCTAGAAAAAATTTCAAAGAGGAGTTGACGTCTCAGCAGAATTTTGAAAAGTTTAAAAAAATAAATGGCCTAGGCTAGAATCTAGATTGCCTGTGGAGCAAGGAGTACTGAACTATCTGGAGAAGTAGGATCCTCTCTTCTGAAGACTAATCATCTTGGGATTGTGTCTTGTACTTCTAAGTATCTCCGACCTGCTATGTCCTTTATAATACAGCACACAAGCTTTTAGTATTTAAACTGTAGGCAGATAAGAAAGTAAAGTGTAAGAACTCTCTATTTTTGTTGTTTGGCACATTCAGGTTTAAAGAATTAGTTTGGCTCAGTGTCTTAAGCCATTAATTTTGAGATTGCTGTGCTGTCTTCCTGGTCACCTGGCTATAGAGAAAGCCCTGCAGGTGTAAATGGAAAACCTGAGTTATAGTCCTGGCTTTCCTGTGTGTCAGTTTTGTAACTTTGGGCATCTTTATTTTTTTTAATCTGAAAATATGATAAGTAGTTTGGACTACGTCATGGGTATTTCGAATATTAAGTCATCACACTCTGGGTGCTGTTAAAATTCTCTAGAGAATGCTTTTGTTGTTTTGGTTTAGTTTGTTTTATTTTAGGAGGCAGTCAACTGGATTAGATTCATACCGCCTTATGTGGGCTGTAGATCCAATTCCAGTTTAGTTTTCAAAACTTTTGTTGTGCTATTCAGGTCCCAGGTGTGCTGACCTGGGTAGTAGTTCATGCTGAAGTGCAGTTCTCAAAGCCTTTGCTATGTCACCGCAGGTCAGTTGCACATGCGTGCAGCTCAGTGGTGAGCTTGAGACTACATACACAGAAGACCTTTTCTAGCTCTCTTTTTAGATTTCCTCTGCACTTTAGCTCCCAGGAGATCCTTTTCCTGATTATTAAGCTAGAAAATGGGTTTTAGCCTCCCTGTGCTATCTACACTTCCCACCACAGGATCTACTTCTCGAACAGAGTGGGGAGAGAAAAGAAAAAAAATGACAAGAATTCTCTTGCTCTTCAGATTGTAGTCTCTTTCCTAGTTCTGTCAGAGAGAACTTTCTCTTGGAGTTTAGGTGCTTGCTTGGTGGCCACCAGCCACAGGTGTGCAGCATCAGAACTGGGGCTTGCTTTGAGGCAGGGCTGAGAGGAATAAAAACCAAGTATCCTCTCACACTCCCACCCCCACACTCTCCATCTTCTTTCCTGGGTCTCTAGCCAGAAAGAGTTGCTCTTGGAGCTTTTTCTGTCTGCACCTGCTACATAGTTATGAGATTTGGGCTGTCCTGAAGTCTAAGCTGGGGTATATGGGAGGAAAAAGAAAAACCAGGAGGCCCATTGTTTTTTGAGTTTTGATTTCTCTCTCCAGTCTGCTTGCTTCCATATATTTTTCAGAATCCTTGTATATTTGCTTTATGTATATTCTGTCCAGGATTTTTAGTTGTAATCAATGGAGAAGATAGGGTAGACTGTGCTTTCTTCATCTTAGCTAGGACTGGAACCCCCACATATAAAATGTGAATAAAAACATATAGTGATGGTTACTGTCCTTAGCGGCACATTAGAAACATCAGGGGAGCTTTTGCAAGTACCAGTGCCCAGGCTGTATCTCCAAATCAATAAAATCAGTCTTCGAAGGTTGGGATTCAAGCATCTGTATTTAGAAGTTCTTTAGGTCCTTGTTATTCAGTGTGTGGTCCGAGGAGCAG